TGTTTTCAAGGCCATTATCTACTTATTTCCTGTTTTCAGCAAATGATTATCAAAACACACATATAGCCACATACATGGCTCTCTGGTTCAGGGCTTCAAGAGCGCCTATCTGAAAATCAAAATTATGTATCAGGTTAGAATATAAAAGCTCTTGACATAGGCAATATATGGCAAATAAGGTTGGTTGTTCCATAGTTTTCTTAAATGCTGGTTAAACAAACAAGCTGTGGTCACAGTAGGGTATCAACCTTAAAACTTAAGTGACTTCAAGATGTATTATTAACTCTGGATTTGGGGTCCAGAAAAAGTTCCAGCCCCTTTGAATTTAAGAGTTTTTTCCTTGTAGTCTAACTTTGTAAAACTAGTCTTCCATTCTAGAATTGGACACTTTGACAGGTAAGTCACAAAGAAATTGTCACAAAAAATGTGCTATGATCATGAGGAGACAGGTTTGGAGAGAAACGTGAAAAATAAAATTACATCAATCAATCTGAGGTCCTTTTTTTTTAATCTGCACTTTTCTCTTAAGGGAAGATCAGAAGATCTGAAGAAGTGGATAAGACAAGATGGAAGCAAGATACAGGAGAGTAGGGGAGGGAGAATATATAAACAACACACTTTACATATGTATGAAACTGTCAAAGATAATGGCAAAAAAGAGAATGGCTATCGTGGAAAACCAAAAGACAGTAAATGCCAGTAACAAACTGGAAAAAGAGGAACATTTACATGCTTCGGGTTGTCACTTAAATTTATTCAGTTGCTATGAAAACCAGGTTGGAATTTCCTTAAAATATTGAAAGTAGGACTAGAATTTCCCCAAATATACCACTCCTGGTGCACACCTAACCAATTCTAAGTCAACACACCAGAAAGTTAGTTACACGTCCATTTTTATCACTGCAGTGTTCACAAAAGAAAAGAAAGGAAACAAGCCTAAATGCCCATCAACTGATAAATATATAAAGAAAACATGGCAACCCATGGAAGAGCTGGAGGGGTTGTAGGAGCCAGAGTGTTTGAGGACACTGTGATAACATGGCCCCTAGAATCAACTAAGCAAGGCTCAGTGTCTCACAGAGCCTGAAACTGCAATCAGAGACTGCATGGGTCTATGTGTGCTAAGTCCTCTGTGTACATGTTGTGGGTGTTTAGCTTGGGGATTTTGTGAAACTCCCAGCATTAGCAATAGAAATGTTTCTGATTCCTTTGCTAGCTCTTGGGACCCTTTTGATCCTACTGGGTTTCCTCATCCAGAATTGAAATGAGGTTTGTGCCTAGTCTTATTTCATCTTGTTATGCTGTTTTCAGTTGATATCTTTGGAAGCCTGCAGGAGGAGAGGCTTGAATTACCTCTACTAAATGAACCAGGCTCTGCTGACTCCCAATGGGAGGACTTACCTTGTGAGAGGAGGGAATGGGGGTTGGTGTGGGGGAAGATTGGATGCGCAGGAGGAGGGAAGATACGAGGATATGTGTTTCATATATAAAATGAATACAAAATTTCATAATAAAAATAAAATAAATAAATGTATTTAAGATAAGGGAAAGGTTATGTAGAGAGAGATCATAAAATACTTTACATTAGGACTTTGCTTTTAAGTAATGATTTTAAAGCCATGTTGTAGCAGGAATCTTAGAAGGTCTTATTAATAAAATCAAACCTGAGCCAGGTATTGGGGTGAATGCTAAAAGATCAGAGAGACAAAACAAACCACAGATAACCTCATCTGTCCAACTTCTCAGCTGATCTTCTTTCCTCAGACTGGAAGCTTCTGTGTCCTCATATCCGAATGGATCTCAGTTGAACTGCTGATCAAATGCCAGAATGCTTAACCAGCCAAATGCTTCTAGTTTCTGGTCTTCATGCCTTATATACCTTTCTGCTTTCTACCACCACACCCTGTGATTAAAGGCTTGCTTTCTGGGATTAAAGGCATGAGTCACCATGCTTGACTGTATATTTGAACACAAGGATTTCTGCCTCTGGAATGATAGGATTAAAGGCATGTGCTACCACTGTGTATCCTAAGTATCTAGTGGCTTTTCTGTTCTCTGACCCCAGAAAAGGTTATTAGGGAACACAATATTTTGGGGAACACAATACCACCATGCCATGTGAATAATACCCAGCCAATGAGTTCTTCTAACAAAGGTATATCAGTGGCAATCTTTTCCATATTAAGAGAATCATGGAATGAACATATGGTGAAAACTGAAGGTACCAAAGCTTGAAAGAAGAGTCTCAGAAAATCATTTGAATAAAGTAACTTATTTTTTATCCTGGTTGTTTATTTCTGCTGATGTTTATTGTAACTCAGTTTATTACTTTGCTCTCAGTAGAAAAGAACCTGAAGTTTGTAATGTTGATGGGAACATAGTAATCTAAAATAATAGAAAGTTACATGAAAGTAAGACAAAGCAGAATAAGTATATAGATTAGGAGACAACCCTAGTTGATAGTACAGAATGTTCCCCCAAGTCATTAGGTGAGAAGAAAAGAGGCACTGGTCAGCAAATTCCACTGCAAGATGTAAGGGAATAATTTAGATTGGTGGAGAAAGTACTCTCTATCCCAATAAACAGACATTTAGTTCCCTTGCACTCAATTCACATTGACCCCTAGTCAGTTCTCCAACGTGAGAAACTGTATTTTCTTACAAATCCACCCTGAATCCCCATACTTAGTGTCTAGTCCATGACACTGCAAGAGATGCGTTGCTGTACTTCCCATTCACAGTCCATTTCTGTGTTGATCATGTCTAGAGCTGTGACAAGCATCAAACACCAGTATTCCAAGGACCACAAGGACCAAGGCTGCCATCCCCATTCTGAGCAGATTCTCCACTGTGTGATGATCCTGTGTCTCTGAGTCTGTGGTTGTGGAGAAAGAATGAAGGGAAAAAGAATATCAACTGAGGAAGATCAGATATCAAAACCCTCAGAAAAGCAATATGAGTGAGAATTTGTACTCACCTGTACTTGGTTTGGACATGTTTTGTGATACAGTTATATTCTCATCAGTTCCTAGGTACAGAAGAGAAGGTACACAATTAATGAAGTACATAAAAGAGCAGAGAGTCTTCTCTGAAGTCAACATTCATATTTCCAGTAAATTTTCATTTCTTATAATTGCATATTAGGCTAATCACAAAACTTCAGAAGGATCCAGTATCAATCATTTCCCTAGGGTGCCATTATTCCTTCTCAATTCTTCACAGACATCACGCTGTTTGAGTTCACACTTCAGACTAAGACACTTGAGTATGATGTTTTTATCAACACAAGAACTAAGTATTGGTGAAGAAAATCATCTCCCATTTACAATTCAGAATTTAGGAGGCCTTCCTATCCTTTCTGTTCAGTCTAGGATATGGGAACATGCAACTAAATTCATGAAGGAGAAATTGTGTGTGAGGTCCATATCAATTCTTTGTATTCACCACCTCTTACTCACATAACCCTGCAATGTAAGACTGACTCCTATCACTTTTAGACATTTTATCTACTGGTCACCCAGCAGGAAGGCACATTGTGGAGGATTAAATGCAAGAAATCCAAACTTCAGCTGTGTTCCCTACTCTGAAGATAAAATGCATGAACTGAAAGGAAGGAGCCTGAATGCCTTGTCCTGGCTCTCTTGCATACCCATACACAGTGTCACCAACACAGTGTCAGATAGGGCAGGACAATTGCAGAAGTGGTTTCTCTGTATGAGGAAGACACAGATAAGGTCAGAATTAAAAAGAACTTAACATCTAGTACAGTGCTTTATAATTAACAGTTGTGGAAACTGAGAATTCGAAAGGAGAGTGGCTTTTACATGTGTCCGTCCCTCTCAGAATAGACTCAATCTATCCATATTTTTATTGAGTCCCTGGACCAATCCTCAACAGAGTTCTAGTTTAGACCTCTGTGGTCAGACTCCAGGTGGTGAAGGGAGAGTCTAACCCACTGTGGGTAATACTGTTCTTGAGTTGTTCATCCTGGATTTTATAAGAAAGCAGGCTGAGGAATCCATGAAGAGCAAACCAGTGAGCAGCACCCATCTAAGCTTCTGTAATGACACCTGCCTCCAGCGTCCTGACCTGTTTGAGTTCCAGCCCTGACTTCCTTTAAGGATTAACAGTGCTGTGAAAGCATAAGCCAAATAAAGCTTTTCCTCTACAACTTGCTTTTTGATGGTGATATTTCATTTCAATACTAGAAACCCTAACTAAGATAATGCATTCTTCTATTCTTTCTCGGCCAGTGTCATGGGCTCTCCCCTCTGAACAATAGATGCCAAGAGCTACCTTCAGCCATCATGACTGGAACCATCCTCAGGGCAGCAGAGCTAGTGATAAA